AAAAAAAAAAAGGCCAGGTGCAGTGGCTCATGCCTGTAATCCCGGCACTTTGGGAGACCAACGTAGGTGGATCACCAGGTCAGGAGATCAAGACCATTCTGGCCAACATGGTGAAACCCCGTCTGTACTAAAAATACAAAAAATTAGCTGGGTGTGGTGGCGCATGCCTGTAATCCCAGCTACTTGGGAGTCTGAGGCAGAAGAATTGCTTGAACCTGGGAGGTGGACGTTGCAGTGAGCCCAGATTACACCATTCAGCCTGGGCGACAGAGTGAGACTCTGTCTAAAAAAAAAACAGAAAAGAAGAACAAAAAGCCGGGCTGGAGCTCAGAGCTGCCTGCATTAGGCACCGTGCTCATCTGCCCTTCTGGAAAACTCCTATGCCCCTATCCCCTCAAAGGAACCCCCTCTGCGACAAGAAGAAGGAATAGAAAAGGACCCTGCCCTCCCCCTTCTGCCTGATGTGTCCCCCACTCCAGGATCCCCCACTCCTCCTCACAGGGTCTGACTATCTCATTCAGCCTCTGGATTCAGACTCGGTGCACCTCCTTATCCCAGCCCAGATTGGACCCCTTCTCCCTGCTCCCCAGTTATTAACTGGAGTGGGGGAGACAGGAAGACTTGCAGAGCAGGGGGCCCCTCTGGATGGGGCCCAGGTCTAAGCTCCACACGCCCACCTCTCCCGGCCTGACCCACCACCCTGCACTGGAGTAGAGCCAGGGACGCAGTAGGCAGGGGTGAAAGGGCCCCGCGCCAGGCAGCAGGATTTCCCTGCCCCTGATCTGGCCAGCTCCCTGGACCTCCTTTAGACCTGGGTTCCTAGAGAAACAAATCCTCTTTCCCCTCAGCACCAAAGCATACCTACCCTACACCAAACAGAAGAGAGAGGGAGAGAGGAAGCCCTGACTGGGGGAGCACAGAAGCCTCACTGTGGGCTGCTGAACTCCTGGGTCAAGGGAGAAATGACTGAGGTCCCCAAGTCCTTATTGAGACGGACCCTTGACTAGAGCTAAGAGGGGTGTGCCAGGACCGAAGTTCCTGCAGAGGCAAGCCTGGGTTCAGAGAAGACATCCCTCCAGCGAGCCCCTGCTGCCCACGGAGCTGAGGACTGTGTTTGTCTAATGGATCTGTTTTTAATCTGCCCCCTGCAGGGCCTGAGGAGGGCACGTGGCTGAGAGAGACCCTGCAGGGAGGACAAACAGACCGAAGACAGCAGGACGGGCGCCTGGGGGTGTGCCAGGCCATCACCTCATCCACTGGGGACAGGGGCCAGAATCCAGAGAAGATGAGGAGGGAGTGGTAGCTAGGATTTCCAGAGGGAAAATTTCTAAGTTTTGTCTTTAAGTTTAGCAAGGGCGAGCAAGAAAGACTGCCATGACTACAAGAAGTATTGTGGTTAGATCACAAGGAGAACTAACATCAAGGAATGATGGAAATCCCTGCTCTCTCTGCAGCATTCTAGACTCTTCCTAGATCCAGACTCATTCCTATAGTCCGGGTGCCCTCCCTCCCTGCCCCCCTCTCCCAGCTCAGCCCAGCCCAGTCCAACTATCCTCTCTGTTCGGTGCAGGAATTGAAGGCAGCAGGTCTGCCTTTAGGCTCCCAGCGGCTGGGGTCCTTAACTAACGTCCGTTTCTCCCCCACAACCCTCTTGCCATCACCAGGTCCTGGCCCTCTCCTCTGCCCCAGCCGTCTAGACCAGATGGCCCAGACGGCACACAGAAGGTGGGCTGGGAAAGTGGGAAGGGCAGTCTGGGTTGACTCAGTTTCCCCCACCTTTGAGCAACACACCCAGTTGGGCTGCAGCTGGTCTATGGGGAGGGAGAGGGGAACCTAGATTGCGGAATGTGAGATTGGGGTTTCACACGAAACCATCTGTTGAAATCCAAGAAAGTGATAATTATCCCAAGCGATTTTAGGACTCTGGAGCTGCTCGCTGTAGGAAAATACTTGTCTCACAGATGGGGGGTGGGGAGAGCAGAGTGGAGAGTGCAGAGGGGGAGGAAAGGGAGGCTGGGGGCCCTGGAGCAGCAGTTCACCTGGTGGGCGGAGCTGGGCGCCGAGGGGTATTGAACCTGCCCCCGGCCAGGGATTAGGTTACCGGCAGGGGCACCGGGAAGGAGATTGGAATGTCTCCGAGGGGCTGCGCAGGGTAGGGAGCAGGGCTCGCAGTCTGGATGCCGGTCTCCACCAGCTTCTGAACCGCAGAGAGCCAGGTGCCTCGGTCCGCCGAGTCCAGGCGCTGAGGCCAGCCTCCCCTTCCCCCAGAGGCCGACCTCGCGCTTCTGGTTTCTACTTGATTCACAGGCCGTGAGTCACCGCAGCGCTGGCACCGGTGGGCCTCCGCAGGAGAAAGCGGGATTTAGGCGTCGGGCGCAGCTCCCCGGGACCCGGAGGTTTCTCGGGGATGCAGGCGCCTAGGGTCTCACGCCCTGATTGCGGTCCCGCTTTCTTTCTCATCCCCACCTTGGAGGACTCCAGAGCCCCCTTTCCACCGCCTGGGCCCTCGAACATTTCCTTACCCAGCACTTTGAGCAAATCCTCGAAGTTTTCCGATCGGATGATTTTCCAGTTGCCAGAGAAGTTGGGCATGGTGGCAGCGCGGGCGGCGGTCTCCTTAGACCCCTAGGCTGTAGCACTGGACACTGAGTCTTTTAGCCGAAAGAGACGTCGGCGTCGCCTTTGTCGGGTCGTGAGATTCAGGAACCAAGACACGTCCAGGGACAACCCCAAAGCTGGCCAGGGCTCCCTCGCGGACAGCTTTTATACCCTGTATGGAACCGCCCCTGCCCAGGATTGAGGCGGCCCCGCCTCCCGCTCCGCCCCCCACCACCTGCGGGGCCCTGCGCCCCCGCCACCAACGTCTGGATCTAGCCCGTGTGGATCCAGGCTTCTCTGGGCACCGAGAGAGCCTTCTCCTGCGCTAGTGGGTGGATGGGGAAGCCAGCACTTGAATCGCGCTCTCCGCCGAGGCGGGGGGAGCCAGCTGCGGGCGAAGACGCTCGGGGCTCGTGTATGGCTGTCCCCCACCCGAGTTCCTCACGCCTCGCCTGTTCCCCACCCGTCCCCAGCCTGACTCGGTGCATTCGACTCCTTGGCGCCCGACACCTGGCGACCCCACCCGCGGGCGGATCCCAGATTTTGAGCCGTAGCTGGCGGTGGGAATGGGCAGTTGAACCCTGGCTCCGTTGAAGCCTGAACTGGATCCGTGGGACCGCTCCGAACTCAGAAAGGGGCTGGGGAGCTCCGGGGTTCGGGGGAGAGGGATCTAAGTGCGGCAACGGCGCCCCCTGCTGGAACAACTCGGAGAGGCTGGACGGGGGCGGCACGGTCCCCTCACCCCTCCACCCCGCTTCGGGCTCCAGTAGTGCCCGGGACGCGGGAAGCAGGGGCCGGGCGACTGGCTCCCCTTAATGTGCTGGGCGGCCATCGAAGGGTTAAGCAGGAGCCCAGGGCGCGAGGCTGGGAGGGCAGAGGTCACAGCCAGTCACTTGACGCGAGGTCTTTATTAAAGCGCTTTCTCTGTCGCTTCGCTCCCCAGGCCCCGAGGGGGTCTCGGTAGGCGAAAGGGAGGGGGGCGGGGGCAGCGGCGCGGAGCTCTGGCGAGCTGCGCTGCCACCTAGACGGGAGGGAGGGTGGGTGCCCGGGGAGAAGGTGAAGCAGGGTCTCAGGTGTCACCATCCTGAGCTGTAAAACGGGCGGAAGGAGCGACCTCCCTTGGCGAGCGGCTTTGAAACGGGAGATCAAAGAGGGTGGGGGGAGGGCACGGCTTCCCGCAGAGACCCGAGTGGGAGTGGGCGAGACCCCAGTGGAGATGGCGGGGAGACACAGAAACAGAAACGGAGGTCAGGCGGGGGTCCTCAGGCCCGGACCCGAGGCCGGAAACCGCAGAGGAGCCGAGCCTGGCGCGATGCAGTGACTGGAGCCACAGGAACCATCCCGGCCTGTCCAACGCAGGGGACCCTTCGGTCCGGTGACCCAGGGCGAACCGACGCTTGTGGCCCCGCTGCCCGCACCCCAACCCCCACCCTCCCGTGACTCTCCCTCCCAGCTCCTTCTAAGGCGGGAAGAAAAACCCCACATCTGGCCCCAGCCCTGGGTCCCTGCCCTGGCCCCTCCTCGCCAACGTGGCCAAGGGTGGAGCAGGCAGTCGCTCTCAGATCTCTGAGACCTTACGCTTAGAACCCAGAAGAGATCTAGGGAGTTGGGGGCTTTGGTGGGGGCTGGGAGGAGTCCAGAGGAAGAGGTCCAGAGGAGAGAGGCCGTAGTGACCTCAGCATTGAGAACTAAAGGCTGGAGAATGTACTGGGGGGGTCGGGCCTCCGAGTTGCAGAGAGGGAAATCTGCAGAAATGGGTGGGTAGAGAAAATAAAGCAGCTCGGCTGACTCTGCAGCAGGAGGGATGGAGATTCCACTGCAGAAAGAACTTCTCTATGGCGCCCCGCCCCGAAATAGCCAACAGACAGATTTGAAGAAGGGAGCGGTATACTTCAGCCTGGGTTTAGGGGTCCAAGTTTTGTGTGGGAGAGCTTATTTGGGAGCGTAGGGGGTCCTGGGCTTCTGGAAGGAAGAGGGCAGCAGGTCAAGGAGCTCTCTGAGCAGAGGTGGTGGCAGGAAGGGGGTTCCCTGGGAAGTGCTTAGGGCCTGGGGTTGCCGGCACAGCTCGAGCGCCTCCCCCATGCTCCCTGCTCAGCAGTGCTGTAGGTAAAGGAGGGGGATTAGGCTCTGACAGTGAAGTCAGGCTCCTGGCCAAAGAGCTGAGGAGAGGCTAGAGGAGGGAACGTGGTGGAAACCAGACTCCTGCTGCCCTCCTTCCCTTCACTGCTCGCCGCCTCCCCCACCCAAGCCATTGTGTCCATCTCCACACCACCAGCCCTCTTGAGCCCCCAGCTGGAAGAGCCAGCCTCCTGCTCAATAGGCATCCCTCCTCCTGCACGACAAAAGACCCAGTGCAGGCCCTCTCCCTCACAGCCTTATGAGTGACTAAGGGTGTTAAAACTTCACCCCAAAGATGGTCACCAGGACGCAGGGACAGAGTCCATAGGAGGGGGTGATTGGCCCCCAGATGCTACAGCAGGGGAGCACAGGCTGGATGGCTTGGCTGAGGCTGCTGGGGAGGCTGGAGCCAGGGAGTGGGGCTCCCTAGGAGGGGGGCTGGGAGATCTGGGCCCACTCCCCTCCCCTCACTTCCCCGCTTCCCCCACCAGCCAACTGGCCCTGATTTCCAAAGAGACAGAAGTAAGACAAAGGGAAGTCGGGCTGGGAGAGGAATTCTTTCCAGATGTGAGCATTTGCGGTTTGGCAGCTCTGGGTCTGAGCTCCAGCTTCAGCCCAGAACTCCAGCCCTGGCTGAGGGAGGTGGGTAGGGGGTCCAAGCAGGGTGCTGAGGAGCTGGGGCTGAGGTCTCAGCCTGCAGCAGCTCTGTTACCCCAGGGAGCAGCAGGCAGGGAGGGTGCTTAGGGAAGATGCTGGGGAAGGGGATGGGGGAGCTAAGGGGTGGGAGATGAGGGAGATTGGAGGGGCCTGGGGGAGAGGGCTAACTGAAGAGGATGGAGAAGCCGAGGGGCCAAGGAGCAGGGGCCAGGACCTGAAAGCAGGCAGTGGGAAGGAGCTGCAGCCCCCATCAGCCACTCAGTCACAAACAACTGGCTTTAATTTCCCGCTGGGATCAATAAGGGGAAGGAATTTCCCAGTGCCTCTGGCCTTTTAATTATGACCAAATCTGCTACAGATCTGCCCAGGGTGACCCATTCCCCCTTTGCAGGGGCCTCGGTCATACCCCTCTTGGGCCTCCCCCAGGAATTCGGAGACTCAGTGAGGGGGGGGCGCCAAGTTGGTGAGAAAAGCTGGGGGAGCAGGGGTGGGATGGGTAGGGGCGGGTGAGGGGGAAACCAGATCGAGAGACTGAGGACAGCAACATTTTGGGACTTTGTTCCATGGTGGTGTGGCTAAAAGGAAGGGGGCTGTCTTCCACCCGAAGGAAAAGAGAGGGGCAGGGGAGGGCTCCTGGGTGGTGAGGAGTGCGAGTGGGTGTAGATGTGTGTACAACCGAGGGGTCTAGGACTTGGGGAGAGGAGACCCGCCTCCCCTCTCCATTAATTCCTTGGGGCTAGTGGGGAGGAGTGACCACCCAGCCCAGCTGCTGGAGGGGGAAGGGTTGGCTGGGGATGGAAGTGTGGGAGAGTGATGAAGCCCCCGCCCTCACCCCCAACCGGGACCACGGAGAGTCTCTGGCCAAATTCAGCATTTGGAGAAGAACCTCACTCTGGGCAGTGTTATTGCATCTGCTGCGTCAGTTTGTTGGCTGGAACGCATGTCGAAATGAAACCCAGGTGGGCCTAGACACCTGGGTCTCTGCTGCTCAGCGTAGGGGCAGCCGTGAATGCAGGACTTCTACAGAATGCAGGGAGGTCTGAGAGTAGAAGAGAGGGGCTGGGAGCTGCTGCTGGGGCAAGGCGGCTGTGTCTCCTGGCCACGCTGAGCCCTCAGGATCCCTCTTAGCGCAGAGCATAGACTCAGGCAGCCTACCTCCCAGTCTGGCCTGATCCTTGGTACAGAGGAGAGTGCTGCTTTCTTGTCTCTCTGGGTTCAGGGGCCCAGCCCTTTTCGAGTCTGAGAAGGCCAGGCTCTGATTTACCCCAAATGAAACTGTCCTTGCAGTAGGATGAAGAGGAGTTAGGTCCAAAAAAAGCTTCCAGCAAACTGAAGTGCAAGCGGGGAGCAGGGTCGGAGATCTGGAAAGGAGAGGACTCACTTCCCAGGAACACTGGGTGCAGGAGAGAGATCCCGAAAACCAGGGACGCTTAGGGCAGAGACTTCTGAGTGACCCGGGGAGAGGGCAGCTGGACCCAAAGGCAGGAGATGATGGTAACCTCCAGGGCCAGCCCGGAGGCCTGGCCAACAGAGGCAGGCGTGGTCCAGTACCATCAGGACCACAGACTGGGAGGAGGGGGCTGACCAGGATTACAGCCAGACAAGGAGAGGGTCTGCACAGTGCCCAGGTGGCCGGGCGGTGCCTCTGACTGTGACAAGAGGCTTTCTAGGCGGACCAGGGAGGATCTGCACAGTGCCCAGGCGGTGCCTCTGTTGTTCTTGGCTCTGCCACCTCATTCCCAGCTCCAGCTGCCAACGCTCTCCTCAGGGCTGGGCTGGGCTGCTGAGCAGCGGGAAGGGAGAGGGAGGAGGTGGGGATGCACTGGTTGAGGACTTGTCCAGACCGGCTTCAGGTCCCTGGATGAAGAAGTCAGTCTGCACCATGACTTGACCTACAGTTAAACTCCTCTTGGCTTTTAAGATCCAGTTTCTAGGGCCAGACCCCTCTGCCATTCCCACCCTTCATCCTGCACTGGCCCCTTAACCCCTGGCCGCCCAGGACAGGAAGGCAAAGGTGTAGCCATGGCAAGTTTGGCAAGCTGACCACACGGGTTCGCGTGGCACCTAGAAATGGCCAGCACTAGACAAGGTGCGCAGCCTGCAGTCTGGCCTCCGACCCTGCCGCCGTGGCCCAGGCTGCTAGACCTGGGGAACACTGGCCACGTCCCGGATGCCTCCTCGCCCATGCTCTGAGGATGGGAAATAGAAGATCCAGGGTCTGGGTACCTTCGCCTTCCTCCCCCCGGCCCCTGGCACTGAGACGATCTGGAGTTTCTGGAGGAAGAAGCAAAGGGCTGGGTGTGTGCCGCAGGCAGGTGGGCACTGGGCCAGACAGCCTGATTCTGGGATTGAAGAGGAAAGCAGCAAGAGGAGGGGAGAGAGGCAAGGTCCCGGAGAAGAGGAGGCTGAGGGCGCAGCTCTGGGTTTTGGGGTTCTAGGTGGG